ATCAATCTTATACAAAGTTATGAAAATTGCATGGCCTGTGGCGACTATTGTAGTGTCCTCAAAGCAGCAATATGTGCCCGCAGTTTTAACTGCTGCATTCCAAGCAAATGTATCTGATTTGCCTGAGATGCTGAACGAAAGATATTAGGGTTTTACCACTACAGGGGTTTTCGTATGAACTGAAACGACTAAAACAATTAGCGGTAAGCTGTTTTCTAAAAGCCTTAGCACAGCGAAATATCCGCAATTTATAATACCCCAACTTATTTTTATGATAATGGCTTTTCGACCGCCGAGATTCGACAAACTCCAGGACGTGCTTCAAGCGGGCGGGGGGCAAGCGTAGTGACCTGCGGGTTAATAAATTTAAAGTTATTGCAGACCTGCGCTGCATGTACCGCACTCTCTCGTCCCTCGCCCGACTCTCTTTGGTAGCAAGACAGAATCAAGCAGACTAGATGTGGGATCGGGCGCAGGTGGCCACCACAAATACTTAAATTGCTCAAAACACGTATATACACCCCACATAGGTATTTTTCTTAGCTTTGTGCCCGCTAATAATATTGTTGCGAATACTACTAACGCAGCAGAATTACTTATACAAATGATTGCTTTAGGATGACAATATTTAGAAATAATGCCTTCATCACCATTGTCCTCATGGTAATTCTACTACTACTACTACTACTACTAACATTACTACTATTACTACAAGTCCGATCTGAAACCGAAGTATCTAATCGTAAATGGTCGAGAATTTGCGGGGCCCAGGTAAGTGAATAGAAGACGGTAAATGTCTTCTGGGACAAGTGTTTCTTTGTCAGAAGTTTCGAACGCTCACGCGAGCTAATTGTAAAGGAATGAAAAATGTACAGAGGTCAAGGACAAGCGTGGATCGTATTGTAGTTATCGGGCATGAAATTCATTGAGGTGACTCGAAAATTTTGGGTAAGAGTGGGACTTCAACAGCTGAGGTGGTTTGGAAACGTTCTTCGTCACCAATCTCAGGAGCTCAGTGCCACTGCCTTCGACTTGAAACCGTTGCCTTATTGGGGACATCGAAGAGGGGTTCAACTCAAAACCCGACTTGACACAGTCCGTCAGGACATGAAATTGGTTCTTGGACATTCGGTATTCGGTCTCCGGCACTGGCGAAGAGAATGGGTCGAAATGTCCAGATCTGCGGCCACGGATCGTCGCGCGTGGAGAAGCACCGTATGGGACATAATTGAGTCCGGCTAGATCAGTCATGATCGTAGACGTAACAAGTACAAGAAAGTAACTACCCGTCAAGGGCAAGGTCACTCCCGGCAGAACTGAGTTAAATACGCATTGAGCTGTACATTTTTTGATTCTTCGTCAGTGAGCTCGCGTGGGAGTTCAAAAAGTCGAACAAATAGTCCCAGAGAAAGTATCTAGTTTTTAGCTCTAAAATTTACCTTTAAATCAAGCTCATGAGTGATATGCAATGCAAAAGTGGTATATTTGGGGGAATCACCTGTCTTGTCCCTAATAGTTTTAATGCTTTTTATTTACTTATAGAATAGACTTGAGGAGAAGGAAGCCGAGCTCTTAATGGCTAAGCGCGCTCAAGCCGACCTTGCAAGTCGCATGGAAGCTTTAGAAAAACGAATAATTGTGGGCGGCGAAAACCTATTGGAGAAGGCGGAGGCTCAGGAGCGATTGTTGGAGGAGTCGGCACAGGAATTGAAAATTCAAGAAGAACGTGCAAGACAGCTGAAACAAAAGTTGAAGGAGAAGAAGGAAGAACGCATAAATATCGAAGAAAAGTACAACTCCTTGCAAGTAAGTCATCAGAAGGCTAGACTGTGTTCCATTTTACGCACATTTGTCCGTCAAATTTCCCATTAGTCTTACGCTGCCTTAGCATGCACTTTAGTAGAGTCATCCACCCACAAGAAATAGGCGACTCGTTGTACTCTGACAGAAAATGTTAACGGACAGCTAAGGGCGTCAACATTTAGGCCCACGAATATCCTGTAGAAATACCACTTTTGTTGTCAAGACATCTGTGCAGAAACCGGGTCTGCGAATAAGTTGAGGCCTCGCGAAGGGTAAATGTTTCTCATCGTTGGGCCGATCTAAGCGCATCACGACCAAATAACTTGCCAA